TACTACACTATGAGTGCTCCCCTATGTCTCCTGTGAGGAGCTTCTCCCATCTTTGTAGCCCTGGGGATTCCTGTGCCAGTTCCTTTGGAGGCTTACTTCGATCGCTATTGCTCTGACCTGCTGAATCACTTCTCACCTCATGAGGGCGTAGGATCTCCATCCTTCCCAGCCACATACCTGACCAGACTTAAGTGGAGAGAGGATCTTCAGGATATATATATACATATGCGCATTACCTATGCGCGTTCTGGTTAGTGCGAAATTTTACCATTTACACTGGGAAACAAGGAGCACTGTTTTTTACTGGACTGTGTTTATCATTACCATTTTTCATTTTTATGAGCGCTGCATTTTTTATCTATGTAGCAGAATACATTTTGGCCTAAATTTATGAAGAAATTTAAGTTTATTGGATATTTATTTTATAACAAAGTAGAAAATATATATTTTTTTTTTTTTTTTTTACACTTTCGGTGTTTAAAAAAAAAAATATATATATATATATATATATATATATATATATATATATATATATATTTGCAAGAAAAAGTATGTGAACCCCTTGGGATTACGTGGAGTTTTGCATGAATTGGGCATAAAATGTGCTCTGAACGTCATCTAAGTCACAACAATGGAAGAACACAGTCTGCTGAACATAATACTACACAAACATTAGATGTTGCCATGGTTTAATTGCACATAACATGTAAACATTCACAGTGCAGGGAGGAAAAAGTATGTGAGGCCCTAGCTTAATGACTTCTCCTAGAGCTAATTGGAGCCAGGAGTGAGCCAACCTTGACTCCAATCAGTGTGATGATATTGGATGTGTTGCTGACAGCTGTCCTGCCTTTAAAAAACACACACCTGTTTTGGGTTTACTGGTTTCAAGAAGCACTGTCTGATGTGAACCATGCCTCGCAGAAAAGAGCTCTCAGAAGACCTACCATCAAGAATTGTTGACTTGCATGAAATTGGAAAGGGTTACAAAAGTATCTCCAAAAGCCTTGATGTTCATGTGTCCACGGTAAGACAGACTGTCTACAAATGGAGAAAGTTTAGCACTGTTGCTACTCTCCCTAGGCATGGTCGTCCTGTAAAAATGACTGCAAGAGCACAGCGCAGAATGCTGCATGAGGTAAAGAAGAATCCCAGAGTGTCAGCTAAAGACCTACAGAAATCTCTGGCACATGCTAACATTTTTGTTGACACATCTACAATAAGGAAAGAAGAATGGAGTACATGGGAGGACACCACGGAGGAAGCCATTGTTGTCCAAAAAGAATATTGCAGCACGTTTGAAGTTTGCAAAAGAGCACCTGGATGTTCCACAGCACTACTGGCAGAATATACTGTGGACAGATGAAACCAAGATTGAGTTGTTTGGGAAGAACACACAACACTATGTGTGGAGAAAAAAAGGCACAGCACACCAACATCAAAACCTCATCCCCACTGTAAAACATGGCGGAGGGAGCATTATGGTTTGGGGCTGCTTTGCTGCCTCAGGGCCTGGACAGATTGTTGTCATTGATGGGAAAATGAATTCCAGAGTTTATCAAGACATTTTTCAGGAAAACGTACGACCATCTGTCCGCCAACTGAAGCTCCGCAGAGGATGGGTGATGCAACAGGACAATGACCCAAAGCATACAAGTAATTCAACAAAACAATGGCTGCAACAGCACAGAATTCGCCTTCTGGAGTGGCCCAGTCGGAGTCCTGACCTCAACCCGATTGAAATGCTGTGGCATGACCTTAAGAGAGCGATTCACACCAGACATCCCAAGAATATTGCTACACTGAAACAGTTTTGTGAAGAGGAGTGGTCCAAAATTACTCCAGATCGTTGTGCAGGTCCGATCTGCAACTACAGGAAACGTTTGGTTGAGGTTATTGCTGCCAAAGGAGGGTCAACCAGTTATTAAGTCCAAAGGTTCACATACTTTTTCCTCCCTGCACTGTGAATGTTTACATGTTATGTGCAATTAAACTATGGCAACATCTAATGTTTGTGTAGTATTATGTTCAGCAGACTGTGTTCTTCTATTGTTGTGACTTAGATGACGTTCAGAGCACATTTTATGCCCAATTCATGCAAAACTCCACGTAATCCCAAAGGGTTCACATACTTTTTCTTGTAACTGTGTATATATATGTGTGTGTGTGTATATGTGTGTGTATATGTGTGTGTGTGTGTGTGTGTGTATATATATATATATATATATATGTGTGTATATATATATATATATATATATGTGTGTATATATATATATATTAACACATATATATAAATAAATGTGTATGTATGTATTTATATTGTTTTGCTTACTGCGCTGCATGACCTTGTAATTTTCATGGCAGACTAATCTGATTTGAACTTTTTTTTACTATATTCCAAACATTTTGGTGCTGTTGACTAGCCTTTATTGATTTCAGCAAGGCATTTGATACAGATCCACATAATGATCTGATAAAAAAGTTGTACTTAACCCTTGCTTGGTTCAGGTAGATATGCAGTTGGCTAAAGGATAGATACCAGAGTGTGGATGTAAGTGAGGATCATTCAGAACTGAGACCAGTCACTAATCTCCTGTTCTCTTTTTAATCAATATGTAGGTGAAATTAAAGGGTTGGTGAGTAAGGTATACCTTTTTGCAGATGATACAAAGGTGTACAAATAGTTGATATCCCTGGAGGTGTCTGTAACAGACAACATGATTTAGCATTGCTGGAAGATTTAGTCAAACAGGAAACTGCAGTTCAGTGTTTCTAAATGTAAAATAGTGCATCTAGTGAAAGAGAATCCCTTGATAGAGCACAATATTGGGTCTACAGCCCTGGCCAAAAGTTCTAAGAAAGACACAGTCGCCTCACTGTGCGTACAAATGCACTCACCCCTGCCTGCTGCCATTCCGGAACAAGCTCTGCACTGGTGGGGCCCTGATCCCACAGATGAATTGACCTTTAGGAGGTGGTCCTGGTGCTTGCTTGACTTTCTGGACTTTCTTTGGCGCCCTGAAGCTTTCTTTGGCGCCCTGAAGCTTTCTTTGGCGCCCTGAAGCTTTCTTCACAACAATTGAACCTTTCTCCTTGAAGTTCCTGATGATCCAATAAATGGTCGATTTAGGTGCAGTCTTAGAAGCAGCAACATCCTTGCTTGTGAATCCCTTTTTTGTGCAAAGCAATGATGACTGCACGTGTTTCCTTGCAGGTAAAAAAATAATTGTCATTCTCAAAACTTTTGGCCAGGACTGTATAGTGTTGGCCAGCTCTAAAGAAGAAAAAGATTTGGGAGTACTTATTTCAGGTAATTGCAAAATGAGCAAATAGTGTGGCCAGGCAGTGGGAAAAGGCGATTAGAATTCTAGGATACATCACTAGATGGGTCATCAGCAGGAGGAAGGATTCACCTCTACAGATCTTTAGTTAGACCTTCTTTAGAATACTGGATCCAGTTCTGGAGAGATCACTTACAGAACGATAAGCTAGAACAAGTCCAGAGATGGGTAACAAATTGGTGAAAGGTCTGAGGGATAAAACATATCAAGAGAGACTTCAGGAACTTTATATGTACAGGGTGGTGGAAAGGGATATATGACTGAAACATTTAAATTAGGGATGCATCAATATCCCTTTTTTAAGGCAGAGTACGAGTACCGATACTTTTCCTCCAAGTACTTGCCAATTCCAATTACTGATACCTATTTTTAGGGACATGTTACAGGACTCACCAACAGACGTACAGCAGGAGACCTGTAACAGGACTCACCATCAGAAGTTCAGCAAGGGACATGTAACCGCACTGAGGGCTCGCCAACAGAAGTACATCAAGTCACAGGACTTGCCGCCAGAAAAATACAGCAGTCGGCGAGGGACATGAGGGGGAACGTAGCTCTCTCTGCCTCCACACTGACGTCCCTTCCAGTATCTGTGCATTTGCATGAGTACCGATGCTTGTGCAAATGCCTAGTATTTGAAAAAAGTGCTACTGCGCTTATGGGTATAATCAATAGTAACAAATAACCATTTGCAGCAGTCCTAATTGTGAACTAATACACACAAACATCATAAGTGAATACCATATGGACCGTGCATAATATAATATGCACAGTCCAGACGTTGTTCACTTAAAATGCCTAGTATTGGCACCAATACTGGTATCGGTAGCAGTGCATCCCTATTTTAAATATATCAAGGAGGTAAATAAGGCTCTGGAGGGCAGTATTTTAAATATAAAGCTAAGATCAAAAACACTGGGATATGACTTCAAACAAGCAGAAGGAAAGTAAAAACTAATGTTACAAAGTATTATTTTACTGAAAGGGTAGTTGATGCTTGAAATAGGCTTCCAGCAGAGGTAGAGAGTAAGTCAACAGTAAGTGGATTCAAACATGTCTGGGACAAACAGATCTCTACTTAGGCAAAGTTAAACACAAAAAAAAAAATCCCGTCCAGCTGCAGCAGCTTTCAGACTTTTGAAGTTTAACAGACTGCCAGTGGGCCCTTCGGCCTGCAGCTAAACGCCAGAGGCCAATGTGCAGGGCGAATAGGGCCTTCTATGATCTTGCACTGCAGATATACCACTGTTGCGCTACAGAACAGAGTTTGCCTAGGCACAGAGGCATGTTCGGAAGAGCTCTATTAGTGTTTAGGAGAAAATTAAGACCATAACAGTTACGCACAGTTACATTTTCTAGATGTTCCCTGAAAGATAGCAGATCTCCACTTTAAAGTAAAGTATATCTAAAGCCATACTTTTCTTTTTCTTCTTCTTCCTTTTTTTTTTTTTTTTAACTTGCCCACCCATTTGAACATATATGAAAATCTGAAATGCGAGAACCCATGCTTTAACCCAGTGCTTTAGTGTTTAAAGAAAAAAATTGTGAAATTATCAGATTTTTGTATCAGGAGCTAGTTTAATGGTATGATGCAAAGAGTCACTAGAAACTGGACACAATGTTTCACTTTATGAATTAATGCTAGTTATGTCTTTTTAGGAAATCCATTACAGTGGTGGAGAAATATTTTGAACAATATGCTTTGGTGGGGCAAGACATTCTGGAAAATAAGCAGAACTGGGATAAAGTGTTGGCACTTGTTCCAGAAGATATCCTTTTTTTCTTTTGACCGTTTCTTTATTGTACAATGTGTGTTGATTGTTTGTTTAAAAAATAAATAAATAATTGAAATCCTTAACCTATGGGATCACCAGTCCGAGAGGCTTTGCAGAAAGATTTCCAGAAAGCACGTACTTCAGTTGAGCGATGGGAGAAACTAAAAAAAAGTGTGAACTTGCCGGTGTGTGTATATATGTATTGGAAAATGCACATGTTTTTTAAATCTACACTTTTATTCAGTACTGCTGTGAGGCCTTGTTATAACAATAAGGCTTGTAAAGTTTGCTGTTTTGTAGATTCTGTGTATTGTATTCCCTTTTAGGGATTTTTCCAGTGATTTGCTGGAAAAAAGTGAAAGAAAGTTAGGACATCCTACTTTGATAGTTGTCACTAGAACAGGAGGTGGGAGAAAATCTTTTATAGGGGGACACCTGAATAATGACAACTTAAACTTTTACATTTCCCCAAGGACAGATAATGGAAGCAGGGTAGTGGGTAAGGCTCATATGCTGGAACTAATGGGGTATTTAAAGTAAGTTGGTATAAGTGTCCTTTTTGGGCTGCAATGTATACAACGAATTGTAATTGAAAATACTGACACATTTATCTGCTCATCTTCTATCTTACAGGATCTTAAAAAAGGTATATATGCTGCTAAGGAAGTTATGTTACAGTACTGCTATCCTCGATTGGATGTGAATGTCAGCAAAGGTGTTAATCACTTATTAAAGAGCCCTTTCAGTGTTCATCCTAAAACAGGTAATTAAACATGGTGCAAACTATATGGTTCTCCCGGATATATTAACTGGTCTGTCCACATAAAAAAAGTGACCTTTTGTTTATATATGGGGCTCAGTGGACTCAGCCCTGGCTTCAAATATGTCTTAGAAACTCAAAGGAGTGAGATCTCCTCCATTTTTTTTAACTGCTGATTCTGTTGTATACTTTTTGCATGTTACATTGGCTGTTGGATTCACTATATCAGGGGTGTGGAAATTTTTGTCCAAGGACTAAATCGGGGTCCCAATCTACTTGTCCTGGTTAAAAAAAATAAATAAAAAATTTCTAACCAAAACCGCAGTTAAGTCTGAGGTGCTTTTATGAATGTATAGGCTTTTAAAAAATGAAAGGGGCTTTATGGCAACTTAAACTTTTAATGTTTTTAACATTGCTCTGTTTATCTCCTACTTGTCTCCCTGTTTGTCTCCAGCACCACACCCTGGGACTAGCAGGGAGGGGAGAGACCTTGCAGTGTGACGAGCTCCGATCGGGTGCTCATCAGGAAAGGGGAGTGTTGGGCTCTCTTAACGCTAAGACCTGAGCATATCTGCTAAGCAAGTAAACAAGGTGACGGCCCCAATGAGAGGAAAAAAAAAAGTTTTCCCTCAGTTTATCTTCGCACATGCAAACACTTGGGTGCTTGCACAGAAACACTTGCCAAAGTAGCCTCTAGTGTCCACTCCATTAAAGGATGAGTTCACCTTTTTTTAACAAAATAAATGGACATTTTTTGCAGGTAAAAAAATGCACATTTACCGTATTTTTCGGTCCATAAGACGCACCTAGATTTTAGAGGAGGAAAACAAGAAAAAAGAAATTCTGAACCAATGGACTGCAGACATAGTACAGGAGTACAGGAGAGGACCAGAGACTGCGGACCTTTGGGCAGGGAGGGGTACCAGAATTTCACAGGTACCTGCTCCCACTTCTGCGGAGTTGTCCTCCCTCCCCGTAGTCTTGTGGGATACTTGACAGGTCCCACAAGACTACGGGGCCATTCACAAAGCGCAGCTCTTCTCGCGCATGCGCAGTGGTCACCTGGCTATGAAGCCGCAAGCTGTCACAGCCGGGTGCCCACACTGAAGATGCTGGCACCAGGGAGAGAAGACAGCTGATGGAAGCAGGACACCGCTGGACTGAGAAACAGGTAGGATGGAGGAGCAGGTTCTTCTGCACAGTAGAGCCGAGTGGCCGGCCCGGTATTCTAACGCGGTGGGAATTCCAGACTGGCCGCTCCATATTCGCTCCATAAGATGCACAGATATTTTCACCAATTTATGGTCTTATGGAGCGAAAAATACGGTAATTTTAAAAAATACTTGGAGCCTGTAAAGCATTATATCAGCAATATCGGCAGGTCTCCTGCGGACTGTCAGTGTATTCTGTTTGCCTGTACATTGTGGAGGCAGTTTCACACTGACAGGAAGAATCAATGAACTACCACAGTGCTCAACAGTGCCATGGTAGTTCATTGAGAACGGAGAAGCTGACATCCACAAAGGATGTTGGTACTCAGTTGATTCATTCACAGAAACTCTGTGAATGGATGATGCGGCCATGTGGGCAGTGCCCTGAACAGCCACACTCTTCAAAAAAGTGACAGCTTGTATGGGGAACATCTCCCGTACTGCTGTCACACAGAGGCAGCGGATCGCCAAGCCACTGCAGGAGCAGGTACATGTTGCATGTTCTACCCTAAAACCGATGTAACCTGTTCCTGAAGGGGAATTCATCCTTTATCCCTTTTGCTGCCAGAGCCCTTTTATGTTTTGTGCACACATATAAACAATCATTTTATGCCTGAAGATTACATAATCTTACAAAAACATATTTTTTCTGAAAGCAGACTCCCCAGAGAATAAAATAGTGGTGGTACAAATATTTTACGTCACACGATATTACAGCAAAAGTCTAGGAAACGCAAAATTTCAGTAAAAAAGCACACGAGTTCATTTTACAGCACAAAAGCCAATACATTGCCCATTTTTTGGTAAATAAGAGATGAGGTTGTATTGAGTAAATAGATACCAAACATGTGAATTCTAAATTTGTGCGCGCTCATGAAACAGCAACAAACTTTAGTACCCTATATTTTTTTTTTTTTTTTTATAGGCGACACTTTTAAAGCCGCCTATAGCTCATCAGTTTAATGGTACGGAAGCCTGGTGCTAGAACTATTGCTCTCATTCTGTCATGCACTGCAATATCGAACACGTGTATTGCAATCAACGTTTTAATGCGTAGGCACCCCGATGTGTGCGTTTACATTCGTACGTGTGTATATATGGGTTTAGTGCTTAGGTGGAATTTTAATGTTTTTTTTTACTTTCTGTTGTCACATAGGGGATAAAAGTCCACCACTATGTGATTCATTTTGGTAACAGATTCTCTATATTGAGACATGCGGGGCCTAAAAGACCCTGCATGTCTCCTCTGTGCTCCACGAAATGTAATGCGGTGCACATAGCACTGCATTAATTCTTTCCTGGCCATTCGGTCTATGGGGACCCAGAAAGTGACATCATACATGTCAGTCCCAGGTCAGGTCAAGAGGGAGAGGAGAGCTGACGTGTGTCCGCTCAACTCCTTCCCCCTACTGCCGGCACTTACAATACCGATCTTGGGTCCGCAGAAGTGCAAGGGGTCCCGGAGTACATGAGGGAAGGGGGGTCGCACTTGGGGCCAAAAAAAAAAAAAGGAAACCTACTGCTTGCCTGCAGCAGGGTAAACAAGGAGAAGAAACACCTGCCCGGTGTTCAGGCGTCGGGCGATACAAATCATGCATCCCTGCATTTAAAATTGGAAAAAAATTAAATACAACAGGGAAAGTGGGAACCTCTTGGCTGTAGTAGGTGTGCAGACAAAGGAACTTGTGTTCACAGGATCTTGCCAACAGAGTCCCCAAGAGATACTAAAACTGTCATGAAGTGACTTACAAGCACTGATACAGTATTTCCAGTTTGGGTGGACTGTTGTAAAACCAATGTGAAATATTTGATTTTCTTTATTGTTGATGAATGGCAGCACGTTTTATTTTTTTTTTTTTTTTTTATTTTGCATCATATCTGTCTTTCAGGAAGAATTTCTGTACCAATAGATTTTAAGAAGCTGGATCAGTTTGATCCATTTGCAGTTCCAACAATAAGGTAGGCAACAGCTGAGGCATTGAAATTGGCATTCCAAACTCTTCCCTTGCATGATGTGCTCCTCTTGTCTCAACTCTTTATGGTCTTTAATGCTATGTGGAGTAAGCAAGATACACATCACAAAAGTCTAAATATACCTTTAATGTAAACATTTTATGTTAAAGGATAAGTTCACCTTTGGTTCAATATGTTACATGTTTTTAGGGTGGAATATGTATAACATGTTCCTGCTCCTGCAGCCACTCTGCGATCCACTACCACCCCCTATACTGCTGTGACAGCAGTATGGGGAGAAGGTCCCTGTGCCCGCTGACACTGCCATGCAGGGCTTCGCCAACATGGCCGAGTCATTCAGTATCGACATCCTTTGCGCTGCAGGGATAGGTGGTGACGTATTGGCTGGGGAACACTGCTTACGTCACATACCATCCCTGGAGCACAAGCCAGCTGCTGGTCTCGGGGCAGAGGCAGACGTCTTAACCTTGACTTGAATTTTGTATGACTATATGCAATTTGTTGGGGAGATTGGAGAGAAAAAAACAAATGCTACTTAAGTAATATTAAATCTAAACACAAAGCCAAAAATGTATTATGTTTCAGCTTACCAATAATTTAATAGGGTGGTTGCATCAGTTTTCTTTTTCTCTGGCTTTCTTCTGTTTTCACCTGGTGATCTGGCCAGTAACAAGCCACCCGTATTAATGAGACACAACTCTGGATGAATGAGCACAGAAGGCACAGCAGGCAGCAGCATTGTCCGCCTGGGGGGAGGGGAGTGTTAAATGTATTAGCGTATTTAAATACACTAAACAAACAAACTGAAGCCAAAATCCAGCTCACACCACTAAAGAAAACCATTTGTTTTTCTTTTGTGATAAATGTTTTGCACGATTAAATAAAAGGTGATCCTTTTAATCTCCCCTGCCAGTGTTAGGTGGTTTTTCTCATCCTTGTAAACTGGTGCATTCTGCTGCAGAGCTTGAACTTAAAAACAGACTTACTGGCTGGATCACCAGATGAAAATAGGAGAAAGAAAGAGTGCTTAAAAAAAATAGAAACTAATACAGCCATCAGATCTAAGAAT